CAGGAGGCACAGTGGCCAGGGTTTGCAAATCCAAGTGCAGTGGGTGACCTTGGGGATGTCTGCCTAGAGGAAGTTGGCCTTCCATGCCCCCTGACTTCTCCTGCTGGCTGAAGAGCAGATGGGTGGTAAGGCACGAGCAGCCATTGTGGGCAGCAGGTGACACATGCCACCCCTCTTCTGCACCTTGTACTTCACCAACCTGGGCTGACATGTCAATCAGCCTTGGGAGTGACAATCTGCTGCCTTCATCCGTCTTCAGGAAATCCAGCAGGCATCCTAAGAAAAGAGAAGTTGCAAGTGCCCTTCTGCAAAGTGACCCAGCCCTGGTGGTGCCAGTCTCTCCCTGGTGTGAGCGGCTCCCCACTGGGGGCGGGAAGTGGGAGTTTGCGCCCTCAGATCTCTCGGTGCATCAGGAAGGATCTACCTACTGCTGCCGAGTGCCTTCCACTTTACAAAATGCTAGCCTCAGCACCCCAGGAGCAGCCAATATGCCAGCAGTTGCCCAGAAGTTAGGTTTCAGCCAGGTGCAGGGACCTGTCTGAAGTCACCCAGCTGGAAGCTGGGAAGGGAATCCCAGTTCTGACTCGAAGGTTCATGCCCCTTGTCTTTTCCCCCCATGTCAGCTTCGCTCCCTTGATCCCCGTTGGCAGACACCCTCTGCCTCTGAGGACCAAGCATCAGCAAGAAAGCACCAGAATGGAGAGAACTGTCCCTCAGGTTTGGTGCAGGGGACAAATGCAGCTCCCCCTGAAATCGGAAAGCTGGGAGGGATGGAGGCTTGCCCTAGGGGCAGGCTAGAGGCGCCCCCAGCACAGCCTCCGACCAGGGCCCCTTGGGGACGGTTGTTAGGGAGCTGTATCAACATGGGCATGTTGTGATCCTACAGGAGCAGTGTGCCGTCAGGGTCATAGGAGGGGTGAGAAGGTCAAAGGCTGAGGCCCGATCCCAGGCCTACTGCCCCATAAGAACTTGGCCATGCCGTGGACCTTGGAGGCCATCAAGCCCAACCTCTCTGGCCACCCTTGTAAAATATTCACACAGTTGTAAATGGTTGCATGACCAGGAAGCAGGAGACCTGGATCTAGTACCATCCCTGTACGTCTGGCCGGGTGCTCGTTTGACTTTGCAATGCTCAGCCCCTCCCAGCAGGCATCAAAAAGTGCTAGGCACAGAAGGACCACTCCAGAAATGCTGTCTGAACTGCTCCTGGGCTGAGAACATGGCTCTGTCAGAACCACTTCACCCTCCCTCCGTGCCTCCCCCTCCCTCCATCCCTCACTCTCCCTCTCCTCTGTCCCTCCCTGCCCCCACACCGTGCCATGCCCTAGATCTGCAGGACCCCCTGGCCTGATGAACCCACCACGGCGGACCCTCCTCCTCCTGCTAAGTCCAGCCCTCCCGCCTCGCTCTGAGGATGCAGCTCTGCGGGGGACACCACCTCTGGCCATGTACTCGGTGACAATGTAGATGGGCTCCTTAGTGACCACGGCGTAGAGTCGGACCAGCCGCTCATGCTGCAGGGCCTTCATCACGTTGGCCTCACCCAGGAAGGCTTCTGGAGACATGGTTCCCTCCTTCAGCGTCTTAATGGCCACCTTCATGTTGTTTTTGTAGTAACCTGAGCCCAGGGGAGTGAAGAAGCCACTCAGAAGGCGGAGAGCTCGCTTGGAGGTGATCCTTTAACCAAAATCAGGGTAAGTGCCCAGGTGCCACGCTATTCCAGGTGCCAGAGCTGGAACGTGCAGCTCCGGAGGCCGTGGTTGTGTGGGGCTTACCTTGTGTCCCAGGCCGCTTCTATATGGGGCCTCAGGCAGTGGAGGAATGTACCCTGCCTTGGGGGCATTTCACCTATTTGCACCACACCCAGGGCCTGTGTCCTGTGCTGCACGGAACCTGCCTCCTTCCCCCCCCCCCCCACATAATGAATCTCTTCTATCACACAATGGCTCCTTGGTGGAAATGAGCACGCCACCGGGGTACATAGGGCAGGAGGACAAGGTGTGGGGACCTCCTTCCCTCCTTCTGGAGCCCCATGGCGGTCCTGTCCCACTCCTTAAACTACCTGTATTTCCACACTCTCCCTGCACTCCATGAAGTCCCCTGAAGGGCAAAAGACAACTCTACTCGCGTTTCTAGAGGACCTGGGCCTTGGCAGGGACCTGGGATCAGCCCCAGGTAAGGGAGGACTCATGGAGCAGTCCAGGGATAAAATAGAACACGAGTTTTATATCCTGGTGGTCAGGGTGGGGGACAGGTGTCAGCAGCGATGGAAATGTGAGGACACCGGGCCTGGAGCTTCAGTGACCTGGCCAAAGCCCCACGGCTGCCTTCGGTGTGCACTCAGGCTCTGGAATGTCATGGCTCATCACGTTTAACCACCTGTTTCCATCTGGGTGATGGAAAGCTAAGGGGAGTCAGTGCGCCACTGCAGCTCAATGGCAAAGCCAGCTTCAGGCAGAGAACGAAGGAGCGAGCGACTTGGGGGCTTGGCGAGCTGAACTCTGTTCCTGCTCTACTACCGCGATAAGCCGCCCCAGCTGTTACAACGCGGCTCTGTACCTCCACTGCCTCCTCTGTAAAACGGGCGTCCTCGCCTCTGTCCTCGCTCCCTCTCAAGACTTCCGGAGGAGGGATGACACGCTATGAAAATACTGCACCTGGACTCAGGAGGCGGATTGGAATGAACCGGCGGGAGAGCACACTCACCCATCCAGACTTCGCCAAATTGTCCAGACCCGAGTTTCCTGACCAGCCTGAGAGACTGCCGGGGAATTTCCCATTCATCCTGGGCCCAGGGGTTCTGTGGGGCCAGGCTCACACAGGGCAGGGTCAGCCTCTGGCATAGACCATCCCCCTTCTCTGCATTAGGGAAGAAAAGACAGGGCTGGGGGTTACCAGAGCAGCCAGGCTCTCCCTTGGGAGCTGTATCATTCCTAGCTGGGCCCCTCCCTCCCCAGCCATGGGTGTGTGCACACGCCTGCACATGCACACACACTCAACTCTTTCTCTTCGTCTGTGCAAAGCAGGGCATGCTCTCTCTAAAATCCACCTGCTCACTCTCAGACTGAACATGCTTGCTACTCTCTAAGGGGTTCCCTGCTGAGCCAGGAGAGGGAGTTACGGCCACCAGTTCATGGTGCTCAGAGTTGCTACCTCCTTAGGTCTAACTTTGGGACAATCTTTCCATCCCCCAAGGTGGCACCAATGACTCACGCAATTGGGGATCTTAGCGAGAGATGCAGGAGCTCTTGGCACAAGTCCCTGCCCCCATTGCACGCCCCCCTCTTACTAGAATAGTGCTGCACCAGGGCCTGGAGCGAGGGGAAGGTGATCCGGGGGGAGATGTAGTAACCCCCTTCGTCCAGGGAGCGGATCTTATAGTGCTTGATCAGCTCCCCCTGGGTGGTGACGTCCTTCACAGACAGGGAGAAGGCACCTGGAGGGTTCATGGAGACACACACAAGAGAAGTAAGGCACAAAGACAAAAAAACGGGACTGGGATTTGGGCCTCATTTTTAAGCTTTGAAAAAAGTTCCCCAATTCTGTTCTTCATTGTCACCACTCCCTCCACAAGTTCCCTTTCCCTGCATCTCCACCTCCACCCTTTTGGAAGCCTCCCCTGTAAGTTCCATCTGACTCTGACCTTGACATCCCCTCACTGTCCCCCAAAACTCAGCTGGGGAATCACAGAGCCCTGCGGCAGGCAGGACAGTTTCTCAGCAATCATGTGGGTCCCCACTTGGACACCTGGTCACTCGGGGACCCTTTGTCATGGACTATTGAGAAATCTAGGCTCGTTGGAGGGACTAGGCTCTTTATTTTCTGGCTAAAGAGGGTATCCTTACTCCTACAAGCAGATAGCCAATCACAGCTGCAAGTACCATGTCCATGGCGGAGAGTCTAATAAGCTATTCCCAGGGACTCTGTTCAAATTCATTTGCTGCGTGTTACATACACCTGTTATTTTGTCTTCTAGGTTAATGTTTTCCCGCGGGCAAGTGGTAGCAGATGTCAAGGGTTAAGGACAATTTAGGAGGTAAGAGTTTCCAGGTAGGAAACGTTTTTCCATGAACTTGATGTTTTTTTATAAAATGCATCTGTCCAGCTACCTGGGTACCATGACCTCACCCCGCCCCCTACCCATTATTTGGGAGATGGGGACGCTGGGGCCCACAGAGTTCGCGGCAGGCTGGGGGGGCTCCCGGTTCCCCGAGTGGGCGCCTACCACGAGCAGTACCACGACTTTCCGCCAGGGGTCAGGCACGGACCCCTCGTTCTCGGTGTGGACGCTTGGTTTTCCGCGGTCCTGTTTGACTTGAGGCTCTTTCCTCTCCTGTCCACTCCCCCGCCTCAACCCCCTTCCACCCTCCAGTTTCCCTCAGCCAATGTGCGTCTCTCATCACCTACTCGCAAAAGGACGCCCAGAGGCATACGCCAGCGCGCCTTGCTGTTATCGCAGCCCCGCTACACGCCCACCCCAGCCTAATCCTAGACGCTGTAAACTGTCTCCCCGACCCTGCCGGGGTGCAGCTGTGCCCCCAGTCTCTAAGGAACCCGAGCCTGGCCTTAGGGAGTCCATTCATCAAGGGCTTTTCTCTCCATTTTGTAGGCTGCCCTTGTGTCAGGTGCCTCGGGCGATGAGACCAGGAGCCCGCTCTCCACGCAGTGACGCTGCCCAAGCTGGTGCCTTAGGGCCCCTCACTTGCCTGGGCTGCTCTAAGGCCCGGTCCCTGATGGCTTCTGACAATTTGGTATCCTTCGTAAAGAGGACCTCAGATCCCATCAGCTTCAGTTTCACAAAACCTGGATCCCCTGCCTCTGTGGTATGTCTGGACTGCCCTGGGCAGGCAGGGCCTGGTTCTGAGGTTAAGATTTCTCAGCACTGAAGGACTGCCTGCCTTTGAGCTGTGAAACTAGTCCATCCTCACACAGACACCAATAAACTGAGGCTTGAGAGGCTCAGGGACACCCCGGAGGCCACAAGGGGTAGAACTCACTCCCCTGCTTCCATCCCTGTCTTGCATTCACTGCTGTGGCTCCCAGAAGCAGAGGGGTCCTGCTTTGGAGTTGTGTGTGTGTGCACACATATGTGTAAGGTGTGTACATGTGTTGCACACATGTGCATTACATCTGTGCATATGTGCACATGTATACATGCGTGCATGTCTCATGTGTGCGTGTATGTGTGCGTGTGTGTGTGCATATGTGCAGGTGTGGACGTGTGTATGTGGGTGCATGTGTGCATATGTGCACATGTGTGCATGTGTATATGTGTGCACACTTGCCTGTGTATGCACGTGTGTGTATGTGTGCATTTATGTGTTTGTGCATGTGTGTGAATGTGTGAATGTGTGCATGTGTATGTGCGTGTGCTGGGGTGAGGATGGTTGAACAGTCCGGCAGCCCTGGTCCCATTTGGCCACTTCCCAGTTTGGACTGGCTTCCTGGGGTGGACGTGGACAGGAAAAGATGCCAGACTCACAGAGAACCCCTTCTTCCTCTATAGCAGATTGGGTGGGGGGCGGGCGGGCTTTCACCTTAGCAATAGGCAATGGTTGAAATAGCATTTCCAGGGTGACATGACATGATGTTTGGGATTTGCTTTGAAAGAGTAGGGGCGGAGTGGGGGATACAGAAGAAACAAGACTGGCTCAGTTGATAATTGTTAAAGCTGGCTGTTGGGTACCGGGGGTTCCACCTAACTATTTTCTCTACTTCTGTGTATGTTTGAAATGTCCTGGAACAACAATAAAACATTTATGTCATCTCCAGTGATTCCCAAATTGTTTCTTGTACAGAGGTGCTCTACCACAAAAATGGAATAGTGACAATAGCCAATATGGATATAAATATAAAATTTATATATCTATGTGTATGTATATGTATATATATGCATTCATTGGCACATTCCAAGAAATCCTGCACAGAGCACCCCAGCTTTCCAATGCACCCCTCCTGTTCCCCAACCTGGTCCTGCCCTTTTGTGGGGCAACAAGGCCTCATGATGTCCCCAGAGAGTCACAGGGTGCTATGACAGCTTTTCATACTCTGGGTTTCCACTCTCTGGCTGCTGTTCTTGAGCCACAGATGGAACCAATGGACAGCCCAAGGGTGCTCCCACCAGGTAACACCTCTGTCCATCCTCATCGTCCCAACCACAGGGAACCAGACTCATATTTCAGCCACTCTCTCTCCCTTTCCTCCTCTGATGTCACTGTCACCATCTCCTCTCCAGTTAAAATTGGCCACAAGGCTGTAGCTGGTCCCTGTGGACAGCTTCCTCATAAGCAAAGCATTCTTCATACTGCGTGGGAAGTCCCTGGGTCACCCTAGCTTGCCACATTGTAGAGCTTGGGAATCCTCTCAGCCCCTCTTAGATGACATGGTCACTGGTGCTTTGGGCTCTGATGCTTACTGTTGGCCTCCAGCAAGTCACTTCCTGTTCTAGGGGCTCCCTTTCCTCATCTGTCAAATGGATTAGTATGTTACAGATGAAAAGCTAGCGGCCAGTGAGCACCAGGGACCATAATAGGGTTCGGTGCAGCACATGCATTAACAGCCCCAAACTGGAAACAACCCAATGCCCACAGCATGCGAATGGCTCGCTTGACTCTGGAACGATCACACCGGGATTCTGTATAGCAATGAACACGAACAGGCTTACCATCCTCAATCACATGAATGAATCTGTTATGGGCTAAATCGCGTGCACTCCCAATTCCTATGTTAAAGTCCTAACCCTCAGCGCTGAGTAAGTGACCTTATGTGGAGACAGAGCCTTTAAAGGGGTGATTAAGTTAAAATGAGGTCATATGGGTGTGCCCTGATCCAATATGACAGGTGTCCCAATAGGAAGAGATTAGGACACAGACATGCGTGGAGGGATGGCCACATGAGGACACAGAGAAGACTGCCGTTAGCAAGCCAAGGAGAGAGCTCTCGGGAGGAGCCAGTGCTGCTGACACCTTGGTCTTGGACTTCCAGCCTCCAGAGCTGTGAGATAATAAACTTCTGTGCTGGAGCCACCCAGTCTGTGCCACTTTGTTAAGGCAGCCCAGGAAACTAACACAGAATCTCACAAACACTGCAGAGTGACAGGAGCAAGACACACAGAAACAAAAACAGTGATTCTATCTGCATCAAGCTGAAAAACAGACAAGACATGGTGGCAAAACCATAGAGAAAAGCAAGGAAGGATTTTGACCCAAGTCAGGACAGCAGGTAGCTCTTGGGGGTGGGGGTTGACTCAGGAAGGAGCCCAAGTGGGGGGGTGAGGAGGCTCCTGGAGGTCTGGGATGCTCTATCTCTTGGCTGTGATTACACAGGGATTTGTTTATGATTACCCTATGTAATTTAGAATTACACACTCATACTTCATGCAAGCTTTATGTGTTTTATATTTTACACCAAAAAAAAAAAAAAAAAAAATTAAGAAGGAAAGAAAGCCAAATGACAGAGAAAGAGAGAAAACCCCTGAGGGTGATGGCAGCGATGTTTTGCTCAGTCAGTGGATTTGATCTCATGAGTGTCTAGACTGGCATGGGCTCCCCACAATCACCACCCCCTTCCCTTACATCAGGGCACAGGCCACTTCCTCGCGTATGCTACCTGCAGCCTCTGGCTGAGATGATCTTGAAGGATTCTTTGAGGTCCCTCCCAATCCTTGATTCCAAAGAGGTTGGCGGTTGAGGGCTCAGGGTTCCCCCTTCCCTGGCCCCCGTTGGCCTCGGTATTACTGCTGACTGGGTAGCAGGGCCAGTCTGACGTGGGACCACCCCGTCCACCCAGCTTCCTGTGCCCAGGTGGTTTCCAGCCTGGACAGGGAGGACTGTTTGTGTGGCCAGCCTCCACGTCAACTCCTGGGCAGGGCCTGGATTGGGAGGGACACAGGTCCAGAAGCTGCTGGTTCTCCTGGCAGTCACCCCTTCCCCTCTCACTCCAGGGCCAGGCCTCTGGAGGGGGCTTCCCAGGACGCGCTGGGCAGGGAAGGCAGGCAAGGCCCCCACACCGACCTTTGTTGGTTTCACTCTCTCTGATAAGAAAGGAGCCGGTCTTGTTGACTGGAGCCAGAAGCTGCCTCTCGGCCTCCTTCCGGCTCAGTGATCTAAAGAACCACCTGGAAAACGGCAGGAATAGGTGAACCTCACGGTGACCCTGCTCCTCGGAGTATCCCCACTGAGCCTGCCTCCTGCGCTGCCTGTCCCCAAGAAATAAAATCTAGCATTTCTGCTCCCAGTCGGCCCAGAGCTCTGCTCCTCACACCATGATGGAGTCAGCGCCCTCTGACCCCTGCCCTTTCCATCCCGCTTCCTGTCAGCCCTGAACTCACTGTTTTCCTAGAATGAAACAAGAACACTAGTTGGGTGACCTTTGTTAATTTTGCTTTGGAAAAATGCACCTGATCACTCTCCCCAAAGCACAGCTGCGTATCACAGGCACGCGCCTGCCTCCTTGTGGTCTGAGATCTGAATTAGGGAAACTGCTAAGATTCTCTAAGCAGGGACCCCAGGATGTTCCCTTCAGTATGTGGTTGCTGTGTGTGGAGAGCCCCACGGTTCCCCACACTGTTCCGGGGAAAGACGCAGGTACCACAGTGCCCAGAGAAGACTTGTTGCTGGGCCTCGGTCCTCAGGTAGAGCGAGTCCCTGTGAGCAGATTTGTGGAGGCTCTGGCTGGCCAAGACCGATGTTCCCAGTGCCATGGGGACGTGGGGGATGAGGGGGCTGGGGGATTAGAAGGTTGGGATCTTGCTTTCATGTTAGTCAGTTCTGAACAAGGCCACCCTCCTGGGAGCCCCCGAGGGTTGAGTCCTGCCTATGGAGGCTATAGGGGAGGGCTTGCTGGTCATGGTGCCTCCTCGTTAGCCTTCGAGGCCATCAGACACTGGGGACGGTTCCATCCAGGGAAGCCAGGAGAAGGAATGCTTTTGTTTAGCTGGGAAGAGTGACTTGCTCAGTGTCACACAGCAGTCTGAATGTGTCTGGAGCTGGCAGAGAGACCTTTCCCAGCAGAGCTCATTTCCTGTCCCCTCTTTACCGGTGCCTGCAGGCTCCCTGGTCAGTCCCATTCTGGCCCTGCCCTGCCTAGCAGCCCAGGGAGCAGAAACAGTGACTGCACTTTGGCTCAAGGGGGGTTTCCATGCCCACCTACCTTTCCACTTCCAGGCTCTCCACTCGGGCCACAAAGTTGCTGGGCACGTAGCCTTCTCTTCCTGTGACAAGCGACTTGGCCAGCCACCAGTCTCCAGTTCTAACGGGACAGGGGAAACAGAGATGTGATCATGGCCCCTGTGGGCCCGTCTCTGGGCAGCTCCCAGGCCTCCTCAAAGCCATCTCTCCCTGGAGGGCAGAGAATCCGCAGAGGTAGACAGCACGGCAGGCAGGAAGGGACTTGTGTCCACTGCTCAGTGGTACGGTGGCTATCTGGGCAAGTTCTAGGGGGAAGAGCTAATCTACACAGCCTGGCCAGCCCAACAGGGCACAGGGCTCCAGCCAGCAGCCTTCCTCTTGATGAATGGGATGTGTTCGGAGCTTGGTGAGTGACTGGGGACAAGCTTTAGAAAAACATGGTTGGGTGTCCTGTATAGGATCAATAGTCAGGACTTTTGTGAGCTTGGTTCAAGGCCATTGCAGAACTTCAAGAACCAAATCAGACCCTCAGGGCTCCACAGGACAAGCCTGGCCACTGAGAGAGAGCTGACCTAGAAGGAGTTTCTGAGAAGGACATGGGAAATGAGCTAAAGCGGGACTGGTGTGTGTAATCCATGTGGGCTCCTGTCTTGAGAACGAGACAAATACGGACACAACTGACTTAAATGCAAGGCTGTCATGGAACAGCCAGACCAGTCTGCATAAAGGACAAGGTCCACATGCCCAAAGGAGTCAGAAGGGCTGCATGGAGGTGGTGGCATGGAAGTCGGCTTTGAAGGATGAGCAGGAGGTTGTGAATGGAAACCACTTCACCAGAAAGGCTCTGGAGAGGAAGACAAAAGGGCCCAGGGCTGGGGGCGGAGCAATGGAGAAGACTTCCGGGGTCAGCCATGGAGGATGTGGTGGGCGGAGAAGGGAGAGATGTGTGTGGGGGGGTCCTGCAGGGACAGGGGATGGCATCCTGGAACCTCACCCCTTCAGGACCTGTAGCTTCTCCCCCTTCAGCATCTGCAGGTCCCGGTCATTCATGGCAGCGTAGTCATACAGGGCTACCACGAAATGCTCGTCTGAAAGGAACAAGGGAGAGATGACCACCACTCGGGCCCACGAGTGGGAAGGTGGGACTGGGGTGTGCCTGGCTACCAAGGGGAACAGGCTTCTGCTTGCCCATGCTGGAAATGATGTTCTCATCCAGCACAGGCCCCCACCCCGGCCCTGTGACCCCACCAGGGATGGGCTGTCCCCCAGAGCCCATCCTGTCCTCCTTTCTGGACCCACTAAGAAGCCCTATGTCCTGGACAGGGCGTGTGTGAGGAAGCTGATGGCCAGAGGTCAGCCACAGGGAGGCAGCCACTGCCGGGCTGCTGGTGGCCTCAGGCCCACATTGGGACCTAGTGCTGGGAGTCCCTCATCTTCTTTTTCTACACCTGGCCTCGGAGGCCCTTGAGCCTCCTCTTGTCCTTTTCCTCCTCTGCCCCCACCTGCCTCTATCCCCAAAAGGGGTGGTCTTGCCACGTGGCAGCTGGAGCCCTGGCCTCTCCACTGTCTGTGCCCAGAGCCCCTGCCACACTGTCTGTGGCTGCCAGTGACCCCGCCGGGCTCCCCGCCTTGCTCGTGGGCCCTGGACGGAAGGCAGGAAGAGGGCTCAGGAGCTTGGAGCACCTTCTTCAAATGAGCGCTGCTGTGACGAGGGCTCTCTGCACAGCTCTGGGAGCCACAGGACCCACCTGGTAAAGGTCACCTGGAGAGCGCTTAGCTTCCCCGGGTGAGGTGGCTCTGCTCTGTCACTGAGCTGAGTGGTGTGACCTTGGGCTGGTCACCTCTTCTCAGCAGGAAAGAGGGGGTCAGAATAGGTGACAGTGGTTCCCCGAAGTTTTAAGATTCGAATTCTGCTCACAAGTGTGCCAGATTCTGAGCTTTTCCAGGGAAGGGGTCGCATCTACCTGTTGTCACCCCTTCGCCATTCCCGGGACAGAGTTGGGCTCTGTGTGCTGAATGTCCAGTGCACATGGCGTGAGCAGGTTAGTGGGTGGGGCCCGGGCTGGCCGAGGCAGCCTTTCCCCACGCTGTGGGATGTGGATGATGAGGAGGCTGCGCAAAGTCACTTTGAACGAGGCCACCCTCTTGGAAGTCCCCAGCGGTGGAGCCTCTGGCCCAGAAAGGCCGAGCTCATTCCCTATGGTACCCAGCAGGTCAGCCCACTGGAGCAGAAGTGGAGTCTAGGGGCCAGGCATAGTGGCTCATGCCTGTAATCCCAGCACTTTGGGAGGCCGAGGCAGAGACCCATCTGGCCAACATGGTGAAACTCCCTCTCTACTAAAAATATAAAAATTAGCCCAGTGTGGTTGTGTGCACCTGTAATCCCAACTACTCAGGAGCTGAGGCAGGAGAATCACTTGAACCCGGGAGGTGGAGGTTGTAGTGAGCCGAGATCGGGTCACTGCACTCCAGCCCGGGTGACAGAGCGAGACTCTGTCTCAAAAAAATAAAAATAAAAATAAAGTGGAGTCTGGGGATCAGAGAGGGGGCGTGGGTGGTTAGGTGGTCAGTGGTGGGACTCTCGAAGTGGCTTGGAGCGGGAAACAAGAAGGTGCCCTCCACAGGGGCAGACTGGGGCTAGAGGCGAGGGCCTGAGGCCACTGGCCCAACCCTTTGCATTTGGGAGTTAGAATCTTTGAACGCTTGGGTTTGATGATGCTGTGTGTCTTCCCTGGCACTCTTGTTTTTGTTCTTGTTTACAGTTTGTAAAGTCTTCCATTTTTTAAAAGTCCCACCCAGGCTCAGGCATACTAAAGAAACTTGTTCTCGGTTCCTGAAGAGACCCCCCAAAGGTGCACAGAGCTGGGACCTCTCTCAGCTTCCCTGTTTTCTCTTCTCCAGCCCTCAAGCTGCTCCCGACTTGTCTTTGTTCCAACTCCACAAAGCTGCGACCTGGGGGAGAGGGCTGTGGAGCCTCAGGTTCCCAAACCACCCTTCTTACCTTCTTCCAGGTGTTCACTGGGCGGTGGAGGAGTAAGGTGGTTGAAGACAACCTCGGGGAGAAAACACACACTTGAGTTATTTTAGTCCCTGCCGCGTGGGTGGCGCCTGGGGGGATGAGATTGCAGAGCGGGACAGTGAGGGTATCTCCAGGTATCTACCGTAGGAGGAGAGGCAGCTGCCTGTGGGGTCTGCACAGGGCCATTCTGTACCCAGGGACCAGCACCACCCTCAGACAGACTCCGCCCTCTGCTGCCCTTGCCCTGACCACACTGGGGGACGCCCCGGTGTGGAGAAGAGGCAGACAATGAGGGACAGCCCAATCACTTGGGCTTCACGTCCTGGCTCTACCATTACAAGGTCAAATTGTAAATGGGTATTTGTTGACAAGAAAAAATATTTAAAAAGTATATTTCCCCAAAACTCGACAAGCATATTTGTAGGTATGTATCCTGCAGAGAAACTTTTGCGTATGTGTACCAGGGAACGTGTACAAGAGTGTTCCTAGCAAAAATAATAATACATAAACAATTTTTCTTTTGAGATGGAGTCTCGCTCTGTCACCCAGGTTGGAGTGCAGTGGTGTGATCTTGGATCACTGCAACCTCTGCCTCCTGGGTTCAAGCAATTCTCGTGCCTGAGCCTCCCGAGCAGCTGGGATTACAGGTGCCCGCCATCATGCCCAGCTAATTTTTGTATTTTTAGTAGAGATGGGTTTTTGCCATGTTGGCCAGGCTAATCTGGAACTCCTGGCTTCAAGTGATGCACCCACATCAGCCTTCCGAAGTGCTGGGATTACGGGCATGAGCCATCATGCCCGGCCAATACATAAACAATTTTAAAACATGGAACTAACCCTCATGACAGAAGAATAAACAAATTACAGTATACTCATGCAATAAAACTAATGAGCTACAGCCACGTGCATCAACGTCGATATATTTTACATGCATAACATGGAGCCAAAACCCCAGTCTCAGAAGCATATGTGCTGTTTGATGTAGTTGACTTAAAGTTTACAACATGAATAATGAAACTAAATATTGTTTAGGGGTAATACATATGTGATAATATTAAAAAGCAAAGCTAAGGAATGATAAACAGATTCTGGGTACTGGGGCCTGGGGTGAGGGGTACAAACAGGGCAGGGAGGAGGGAGATTCAAAGGAACGAGTCTCTTTCTCTGTCTGAAGTTGGGAGGTGGCTATACAAGTGTGCGCTTTGCTGTGTTCTTTCAACCCGATGTATGTTACAAATATTATTTTCTTAATTCCTTGTTTATTGAACACAATTTTGAAGTAGCATTTTGCAAAATGATATGCATGTATGTTTCTATTAAAAACAGGAACACGTGAAAGAACACAGAAGAAGGGTCTCGAGGCAGGAGCTCTAAAGAGCTAACTCTGGTCACTCTACATAGTGGAATAATGAGTAATCATATTTTTTTTCCATATACATATTAGGTGACTCTTTTAAGTTAAAAAAATTCCAGGTGCTACTACTTATTATCATATAATTTTGGGGAAATTACTCGATCAGACTAAGCCCAAGTTTCCCCATTTGATCAATTACTTATTCAATAAACATCTTGTGGTTGTGCGCTGAGCCCGGTGCTAAAGTGGGACACAGATAGGCAAGATGCCTGGGTTCATCTAGGAAGTGGGATTAGTAATCCCCGTCTCCCCATCAGGTCCCTGTTAGGATAAAGAGATGACCACGTGGACATGCAGATAGCACAGGAGAGGGTCCAGGTATGGCTGCCAACTGCCCCAAACCAAAAGGGGTCACTGGTCAGGGAGTAGGGGGCACAAAGAGTCATCTAAAAATGTATCTTCAGGCCAGGCATGGTTGCTCAAACCTGTAATCCCACCACTTTGGGAGGCCAAGGCAGGTGGATCACCTGAGGTCAGGAGTTCGAGACCAATCTAGCCACATGGTGAAACTCTGTCTCTACTAAAAATACAAAATTAGCCAGGTGTGGTGGCATGTGCCTGTAATTCCAGCTACTCGGGAGGCTGAGGCACGAGAATCACTTGAACCCAGGAGGCAGAGCTTGCAGTGAGCCAACGTCCCACCACTGTACTCCAGCCTGGGCAGCAGAGAGAGACTCTGTCTCAAAAAAAAAAAAAAAGTGTCTTCAGATATGCAGTAGCCATCAAAGAGCGCTAACTGCTTCATAAACAAATCAAGCTGCACGACTAGGAAAATGCATTCCCCACCAATAAGACCTTTTCACTTGAAATTTCACTTTTTTTTCATTTGGAAAGTTTTCCTCATTTAAAATGCCCATAGGATTCCAGGAAAACTTGAGAACCTGCTCGGGAGGTGAGGACAGGCACCCTCCTGTTTCATGATGCTTATCCCAGGAAGGCAGGCTCTTTGGAATGCCAGTGGCAATGCCACATAGGGGAGAAGGGTCTCTAGGAGCTGCTGGGGAGAAGAGAGACAGTAGCTGCTGCTAGATACTGGGATCCTTCCTTATGACACCCTCTCCCCACGCTGACCTTTTTAAATTTTTTTTTCTCTTCAAGGCTGCCCTTGAGAAATGAGCTCTGGCTAAGAATGATTGGGAGCTAACCAGGCCGGGTCCTGTGCGTATTATATTGCATGGCACACCTGCTTATACATTGCAGATCGTTACATCCCTATCAGGAAGGTACTTTTGCTATACCCATTTTACAGATGTGGACATTAAGGCATAAGGGAAGAAAGTAACCTGCTCTTGGTGGGTGGTGGGCAATCACTCACCAGGGGCGGCAGTGGCGGGGGGTCCTTGTCTTGGGCGCTGACCTTCAGGGGGCTCCATTGGCCCTTGTCCTTCTCCTTGATCGGCTTTTCCTTGTCCGGTTTTTTGCTGCTCACTAGCCCCATCCTGTCGGAGACACACAGCAGATGGAGGACATGAGAGAGCGGGGCCTCAGATCCTCTGCACAGAGGGGCTCCTTCTGGGATGCCGATTAGAAAGGTGGGGTGGAAGTCAGAACGTGGGTCGAAGCAGGTGGGTGGGCTAAATGTGTGTCCATCTTTTTTTCAGGAGCCCATGGACCAGAAAGCACTGCATTTAGGACACAGAAACCATCTGACCAGAGACAACCGCCAGAAACCGCTGGGGTGGATCCCGGTCCTCAGGGGACAGGAGCCTGAGCAGGAGGCCATGTGGTGTTCTAGAAAGAGTCCACCAATGTGTCTGGGTTTAGTCTTCGTTTTGTCACTGGCTGTGTCACTTGGGAAAGTGACAGTTTCTCTCCAACCCCATTAGCTCTTTGGTAAACAGCAGGGGCTTTGTTAGAAGATGACTAAGGCTCTCTCCCACTCAGATTTTTGGGTGAGACACTATATACCTTTAGGACAGACTGAGAGCACAGGCATCGAGGCCCAGCTGTGGCTTCACAGTAACAGTGGAAGTCTCCTTAAAGTGGGAAGATGTGGTCCGGTTTTTTTCTTTGGTAAAGAATTTTAGGATGACAGATGTGGGAAAGGCCCTTTTGACGCAATCAACACCATCATATTGTCAGCATCCTCATTCCAGGGGCTGCTATGTATATGTTAAGGAGCTTGCTCAGAGTCAAACAACTGGCCCATGCAGAGCCAGCTCTGGAGTCCAGTCTGACTGGAGACCACTGCACTCCTGTGCTTACATCGGGCTCTTCCCTGAGATGCAGATATCATAGAGAGGAAGCACCCAAATCCCCACGTGTGTTGGAAGGGCGTGTTGTTAGTGGTGATTTCCTTCGGATGTACGCACCATATTTCATCAATTCTAAGATGCACCTTTTTTTCACATTTCAATATCTCTGAACTGGGAGGTGTCTCACAATGGAGGATGCTTTGCAGTATAATTAGTAGCAGCATTTTTTTCCTCTTTTAGTGATATATAAATTAAATGCTAGCCTTTCTGTCAGTGGTGTCTTTGATTAAGTGAAACACAGTCATGAATTTCTTCCAGAGAGTTGAAAGCACATTCTTCATGTCACCGTTCCTCAAACCCACCTTGAAAAAGAAAACTCTATAATAATTTTGGATATAGGACACCAAGCCACAGAAGCAAAAAATTCACAAGTATGTTTTTTTAAGTATGCATTGCATACAGAACACATAATAATGTACAGTTTTAAAGAATGACACTTTTTATATGTAAGTATTTCTTTATGTGAGCTCGGATCAGCTTTACCACCAAGTGAATTATAGTGCCAGGGTTACAAGTATCACTTTAGTTTTCAGAGATTTAGGGTTTCAGAAGTTTGGATAAGAGATTATGGGTTTGACTGGGCATGCCCTTAATCCCAGCACTTTGGAAGGCCGAGGCGGGCAGATCTCTTGAGGTCAGGAGTTCGAGACCAGCCTGAAACCTCATCTTTAGTAAAAATACAAAAATTAGCCAGGTGCGGTGGCACAGGCCTGTAATCCAAGCTACTCAGGAGGCTAAGGCAACAGAATCACTTCAACTTGGGAGGCGGAGGTTGTAGTGAGCCAAGATCATGCCATTGCACTCTAGCCTGGGCAACAGAATGAGACTCCATCTAAAAAAAAAAAAAAAAAAAAAAAAAAGAGAGATGATGGGTTTGTACTGGGGATGGCTACTGAATTTTACCAGGTGCCTATACAATATCTATCAATATGATATATGTTCACCTTTAATTTGTTAATGTAATAAATTATGTTGGTAAATTTTCTGTCATTGAAACATCCTTGCATTCCTGGAAAAAAGCTATTTGATTACAGCATATTAGTCTATTTGGCACACAGATGGATTCTTATTTGCTAATTATTTTATTTTATTTTATTTTATTTGTTTTGAGATAGTGTCTTACTCTATTGCCTAGGCTGAAGTGCCACGGCCTAATCTTGGCTCACTGCAACCTCTGCCTCCCGGGCTAAGGTGATCCTCTCACTCAGCCTCCCAAGTAGCTGGGATGACAGGCATGTGCTGCCATGCCCTACTAAATTTTTTATTTTTGGTGGAGACAGGGTTTTGCCATGTCATGCAGGCTGGTCTCAAACTCCAGAGCTCAAGTGACCCTCCCACCTCAGCCTCCCAAAGTACTGGGATTGCAGGTGTGAGCCATCACACTCGGCCCTCTTTGCTAATATTTTACTTGGAATGAGAATCTATATTCCCAAGGGAGATTTGTCTATGAGGCATTAGCATTAAGGTGTGCTAGCTTTGTAACAGATATTGAGGAGCTCTCTCTCTTTTTTTTCCTATGGTCTTGAGTGGTTTCATAACATCGGAGTTATCTGTTTTTCACAGGCTAAATAGAACTCAGTTATGAAGCCATCTGTGTCTGGGGCCCTATCAAATAGTAAATCTTTAAAGACATTTCCAATCTCTTCTATAGGAATGATCTATTCTCATTTTTTCTCCTCCTTGTGCCATTTTGATGATTTATAGGAGATTTTAAATTTCATCTACATTTTCCAATTCGTTGCCATAGTTTTAGGTAGTATTGTCTTGTAATTATTATACTCTGTTCTCTTTTTTTGATTGTGATGTTTTTCTTGTTCCTAATATAAATTGAATGTTCTTTTAATTAAAATTATAATTTGTAATTGGATAAAATCATCTGAAGCTTTACATGACTAAATTAAGTTTTAACCTAGTTTATAATTATGAAATAGAAGATTGCAATCAAAACAGCATGAAATTGGAATAATAAAAGTAGACAACAATCATCAGAGCAGAATAAAAAACATACAAACAGATTTTGGTAAATAGAGGAACTGCATATGTGAAAAAGATAGCATTTTAATTCAGTAGAAAATAGATAGTTTATTTTAATAAATGATATTAGGAAAATGGCTATTTATTTTAAGGAAAATACAATTGAACCCCTACCTCACACCATATTAAAAAATAAATTCTAGGTGTATGACTGAAAAAAATAAAAAAACAAAAATGTAATTAAAAGAAATGGAAGAAACTGTGTACATAACCTAGAGTTTGGAGACAACTACAAACAAAGATAGAATAGCCAGAAGCTAAGAGAGAACAAAAAATGTACAAATTCATAAACATTAAAAATATTAGATGGTGGCCAGGCGCGGTGGCTCACACTTGTAATCCCAGCACTTTGGGAGGCCAAGATGGGCGGATCACGAGGTCAGGAGATTGAGACCATCCTGGCTAACATGGTGAAACCCCGTCTCTACTACAAATACAAAAAATTAGCCAGGTGTGGTGGCAGGCGCCTGTAGTCCCAGCTACACGGGAGGCTGAGGCAGGAGAATGGCATGAACCCGGGAGGCAGAGCTTGCAGTGAGCTGAGATTGCACCACTGCACTCCAGCCTGGGCGACAGAGCGAGACTCTGTCTCAAAAAAAAAAAAAAAAAAATTAGATGGTATAAGAAACTACTCATGAAGTCCTTAGATAAGCAATAGATTGGGTAAGAGATTGCAAAGCATCAGATAAATGTCTATTCACAATATATACAAAGCTCATAAAATTTTGACAAGAAGTATATTGTAGCATATAATCCATTCAATAGAAAAATGTGTAAAGATAAGAAATAGGAAGTTAGTGCAACACAAATCCAAATAGTAAAGTGTTTACTATAATTATTGTTTCATTTGTTCCTTCACACTCCATTTCTAGGACTGATCTTCTGTGAGGGCTGGAATCTTTGTTTTATTCATTGCTGAATCCAAATTGCTAAACCAATGTCTGGCACAGAGTGTGGGCTTAATAAATATTTATTAGACAAAACAAAAACTATTATTGGAAGAAGCAATCTTTTAAATTCTTTTAGAGGGCAATCTTTTTAAATTCTGTTAAAATAAAAAAGCACTCATACCTTTTGATTTCCAGTCCCACTCTGGACTATCTCAGGTTAATAAAACATCATTATATAGACATATGTGACAGATGAAAATGTTTGTTGTAGTAATAGTTGGAAAAACAATCTCCTCCCCCCCAAAAAAATCCCAAAGAACAACAATGTAACTGCCCAGCAATTAACGACTTATTGAATAAATGTACACTCTACAAATCTCTCATACAACTACTAAAAAAAAATGTGCCAGATCTTTACCAGTGAGGTCAAGAGGAATTTCAGTACTATGTTGTTACATGAGAAAAGCAAGACCCAAAGAGGTGCATGAGGGAATCCCATATTTGCAAACACCAAATGAAAAGAAACCTCTATTCAGGTGTGTAGATATTTTTGCATATTACACAGAAAGAGGCTGGGGAGGATGAACACCAAGTTGTTTACCGTGGTTATTGTTAGAGGAAGGGAGAGTACAAAACAGAGGTGTGGTGTAAGGCAAAAAAAACACCCAAAGAACAAAAAAAACAGCAGACTTAAAAAACTGTGTGTGTGCTAATGCAAAGCAGGGCCCCCCAAAATATTTTCTAAATGGTAAATACTGTTTTATTTTGGAATATAGGACTTCATGTGACTTTGACTTTCTTTCTTGTAATTGTATATATTTCTTGAATTATTTAATACTAAGCATATATTACTGATACAAGCAGAAAAATAAAAGGAAGATGTGAGTGATTTGCCCGACAACAGAGGGGCATAAGATAAGGCCTGGAGCCAGGGCCAGCCTGCAGTTCTTGACAATGACCATTAAGTGGCCAGCCAGGGCTGCCTGAACCTCAGGCCTTTCGTGGCCCCTTCAGCCTCCCTGGCTCAACGAAGGGCCAGCGGTCAGCAGCTCCTATTATATTCCCCAGACTTGGACTCATACTTCCGCATCTGCCCAGGTGACCAGCCCTCTCGTCTTTCTTTGTCCGGCCAGCCATATTGCCATTGGCTTTAAGCTTCCTGGCAAACACCTGTGTCCACCGAAACAAAGAACAAAGAACCTGACAGAAAGTAAAATTCCTAAGATTAAACGGCCCACTACTTACACTTCTATGTCCTTT